AGATTTTTAAGATACGAATTCTCCAGTCATTGACATGGAGATTACTTATAATCTCAGTAAAGATCTCAGAAGGTTTTTGTGGAAATTGACAAACGAATGTAAATATTTATACAAAAACACGAAGGGCCAAGAACACTCAGGACAATGTGAAAAAGAAGCTAAAAAAAAAAGGACCCAGAGGACTGTGTTTTAAAATATTTGTAAGTCTACAGTGGTTAAGACAATGTGGTATTGCCACAAAGTTGGAAAAATATGCTAAATGACTCTATAGAAAGTTCAAAAGTAATTTTACATATCTATTTGATTTAGGGCAAAGAGCTTTGGGGAAAGAACTATGTTTTAAGTGAAAAATCCTAGATCAGGTGGAGACCAAGAGGGAAAGACAAGTAAAAGGACGCGGGTGCCCTCCGTGAGGTCCCTGCAACAAGAGCCAGTTCTGGGCAAGAGTCAGCGGAGACAGAAAGAGGAGGCAGTGTAACTCCTAGGAGATACGGAGAGTATCTTTCTCACCCTGCTTAAGCAAACGTTTCTTAAATAGGACGGGAAGGGCAGTATGCAGAAAGGAAACAAAAAGATGAGTTGCTAATCTCTAAACTTAAGATGTATTAAGAAAGTGAAATAAATAAAAGTGGGGGAGGGGAAGAACTTAGCTGAACCCTGCAGATGACTCACGTACACTACCTGTAAAGGCGCCCTGTGGGACAGACTGGCTGCACAGCTGAAGACTGCTCCCCAAAAGAGGAGGTCCAACTGTCAATACACTTACGAAAAGATGCTCAACTCCTGGGTGACCAGAAAAATGAGGTTCAGACAACATGGAGCCATCTTTTCACATGGACCGGGATGGCTGAACTGAGAAAGGTGGGGAATTCCAGCCAGTGGGGGAGAGAACTCCAGGCAGCCGCGGCTCCCTCACCCTCCTGGGGGAGTGTGCTCCATCCAACCACTTTGGAAACCTCTCGTATCCTCTAAAGATCCACATCTCTATGACCTGAGGATCCCACTTCTGGGGAAGAACATGCACACACTCGCATCCAAAGCCCTGTGTTCGTAGGCTGTTCACGGCAGCCCTGCTCTTAATGACCCATCACTGGAACAAACCACATCTCCAGCAACTGCTGCAAAGACACAGCCCTGAGGCACACCAGGGACAACTGCAGCGGCGTAAACGGACGAGTCAGCTTCACGAAACACAACGGATGAGTTTCCCACATGAAATCCTCACTGCCCCACTCCTCCAGACGCAAACCGGGCAACTCCACTTGTGTGACTTCAAATACAGGTCCAACAAATCTGAGAAGCCAGGATGAGGATGACTACTCTTGTTTGTGCTAGACGTTCGCATCTTCTGTTAGGTTTACATTTTCGGTATTATATTGATTAAATATGTGTTGTTAAAGTAATATATCAACATACAATTCTAATTTAAAATTGGTTAATACAGACATCCCTCAGTATCCACCGGAGATGGGGGGCTGGATCCACGCCTTGGGTACCAAATTCCAAGGATGCTCAAGTCCTAAAGCCGTGCCTTCAGACTCTGCATCCTTGGATTCAGCCAACTGCAGATCTTAAACACGCCCCACAGCTGGCTGAATGCGCAGATACAGACCCTGCTGATATGGAGGGCTGACTGGACAGCAGATCAAATAAATTTTACAATTTAGTATTAATTTAAAACTGGTATTACATGTAGTGCTAAGGATATATTAATATATAATCTTAATAATCAATATTGAATAAATAAAATTTAATTTTAAGTATCACATGATAGCAATAAGACATTAACATTACTGGTAACATTACTGCAACCTCAAGATGCGTTTCAGCAGCTTGGAAGAAAGTTCTGGAACAAGAAGGGCTGCAACACCGA